AAATAAATAAAAAATTAAAAAAGACCCTCAACAAAGTAGGGTTATAGGGAACATACCTCAAGATAATAAAGTTCATTTAAGAAAAGCCCATAGCTAATACAATTCTCAATGGGCAAAAAACTGAGAGCTTTTCCTCTATGGTCAGGAACAAGACAGGGATGTCCACTCTCACCACTGTTATTTAACATAGTACTGAAAGTCCTAGCATCAGCAATCAGACAACGAAAAGAAATAAAAGGTATCCAAATTGGCAAGGAAGAAGTAAAACCTTCACTATTTGCAGATGACATGATGCACTATACAGAAAACTGAAAGACTACACCAAAAAAATGCCAGAATTGATACAGGAATTCAATAAAGTTGCAGGATACAAAATCAACATTCAGAAATTTGTTGCATTTCTATACACCAATAATGAAGCAGCAGAAAGAGAAATCAAGGAATTAATCCCATCTGCAATTGCACCAAAAACCATAAGATACCTAGGAATAAGCCTAGCCAATGAGGTAAAAGATCTGTACTCTCAGAACTATAGAACACTTATGAAAGCAATTGAAGAGGACACAAAGAAATGGAAAAACATTGCATGCTCATGGATTGGAAGAACAAGTACTGTTAAAATGTCTATACTACTCAAAGCAATCTACACATTTAATGCAACCCTTATATACCTATATACCACCAGTATTTTTCACAGACCTAGAACATACAACCCTAAAATGTGTATGGAACCACAGAAGACCCCAAAGAGCCAAAGCAATTTTGAAAAAGAAAAGCTAAGCAGGACTTCAAGTTATATTATAATCATTCTGAACACCTGTGAATTCAACAGGTGATCTAAGAAAATAACGGCAACTCTACAAATAGAAAAACAACCACTTCCTCAGGGCTCCTGGGTGGCTCAGTTGGTTAACCAATTGCCTTCAGCTCAGGTCATGATCCCAGAGTACCGGGATTGAGTCCTGCATCAGGGTCCCTGCTCAGCGGGGAGTCTGCTTCTCCCTCTGACCCTACCCCATCTTGTGCTCTCTCTCTCACTCTCTCTCTCTCAAATAAATAAAATAAAATCTTACAAAAAAAAGAAAAACAACCACTTCCTGCAAGGTAGGAGAATGACAAAACAAGAAAACTCACCTCAAAAAAGAGAACAAGAGGCAGTACTGCCCAGGACCTAATCAGTATGGACACAAGTAAGATGTCAGAACTAGAGTTCAGAATAACGATTATAAAGATACTAGCTGGGCTTGAAAACAGCATAGAAGACAGTAGATAATCCCTTTCTGGAGAAATAAAAGAACTAAAACCTAATCAAGTCAAAATCAAAAAGGCTATTAATGAGGTGCAATCAAAAATGGAGGCTCTAACTGCTAGGATAAATGAGGCAGAAAGGAGAATTATTGATATAGAAGGCAAAATGATGGAGAATGAAGAAGTTGAGAAAAAGAGAGATAAACAACTACTGATTCATGAGGGGAATATTTGAGAGATAAGTGATACCATAAAGAGAAACAACATTAGAATAATTGGGATCCCAGAAGAAGAGGAAAGAGAGAGGTGGGGGCAGAAGGTATACTGCAACAAATTAAAGAGGAGAACGTACCTAATCTGGGGAAGGAAATCAGCATCCAAGTACAGGAGGCACAGAGAAATCCCCTCAAAATTAAAAAAAAAAAAAAAAAAAAAGGTCAACACCCTGACATATAATAGTGAAACTTGCAAATCTCAGAGACAAAGAGAAAATCCTGAAAGCAGCTCAGGGATAAGAGGTCCACAACCTAAAAGAGTAGAACATTAGACTGGCAGCAGACCTATGCACAGAGACCTGGCAGGCCAGAAAGGACTGGCATGATATATTCAGAGCACTAAATGAGAAAAATATATAGCCAAGAATACTTATACAGCTAGGATGCCATTAAATATAGAAAGAGAGATAAAAAGCCTCCAAGACAAACATAAAATAAAAGAATTTGTGATCACTAAACCAGCCATGCAAGAAATATTAAAAGGGATCCTTTAAGCAAAGTGAGAGCCCAAAAGTAACATAGACCAGAAAGGAAAAGAAACAATATACAGAAACAGTGACTTTACAGGTAATACAATGGCAACAAATTCATATCTTTCAATAGTTACTCTAAATGTAAATGGATGAAATATCCCAATCAAAAGACACAGGGTATCAGATTGGATAAAAAAGCAAAACCCATCAATCTGCAAGAGATTCAGTTTAGACCCAAAGACACCCCCAGATTTAAAGTGAGTGGATGTGGGCGCCTGGGTGGCTCAGTTGGTTAAGCGACTGCCTTCGGCTCAGGTCATGATTCTGGAGTCCCTGGATCGAGTCCCACATCGGGCTCCCTGCTCGGCGGGGAGTCTGCTTCTCCCTCTGACCCTAACCCCTCTCATGTGCTCTCTCTCATTCTCTCTCTCTC